TTTGGGGGGGGGGGGGAACAAGGCCAGTGCAACAATAACGATTTAACCCCGATAATCGAACTGCCAACTATCTACAAGCATAGCCCATTCACTAGCCCAGAGAGTTTAAGCACAAACTACAACCATTGAAACAACATATCCAGGTACAGACGCAGCACTCAGTAAGCTAGAATATTCCTATTTGATAGAAGCGTCACAGGTGGAGTAAGAGGTATTGAGCAGCGTAGACTCTAATAGAAAATCTACCTCAATGGCTTGTGACAAGTACATGAGGCCTCCACACTCGCCATAGACAATCCCTCCCGCAAGTGCAAAAGCCCGCACAGCATATAACATTGGTTTGTTGGCTGTCAATCGCTCGGCATGAATTTCTGGATGACCCCCTCCAAAAATAATCGCGTCCAGCCTGGGCGGAAGCAAGTCCCTCAATGGAGAAAAATAAACAAGTTCTGCTCCAGCTTCTGCAAGTATCCATGTTCCATGGATGATGAAATCACGTAAGCGGCAATTGATTCCCATGGGTAGTGGCAGTAACACTCTCCACTTAGCCAAAAATACATTGGACCTCTGAAAACAAGCAGGAATTCTTGCTACTACTTGCCACTACTTGCTTGACAATGTCGATCATTGATTCAAACTGGATATTCATAAATATTGCAACAAGGTATACCTTCCAAAAGATTTAGATTGGCCTGGTAGTAGAAGCAGAAAGCCTCGTCTCGTGCAATTCCAATGCGAACATACTTCCCTCCAGGCGGTGACGCTGGTGATGCTGGTGATAAGGGACTACTACATTGGCTTGCCTCATCGCTCAACTCTGCGCTGCTATAGCTATTCAAGGGTTCACACACTCCAGCTGACTCCAAGACAGCATCTAAATTGATATACAGCTCTACCAAATCAGCAAGCTGCTGAATGCAACCCAATGACTTGCCCTCATCCTCCGTCAATTGTATGCCGAGGTGCCGCTGAGGAAGCTGAATTCCAGATACCTTCGGCAGACCTCCTAGAACCTGAATTCCAGACTCGGTTGCCTGCACAGCCTCTGTAAGCCATGCAGTATGAGCAGGGCTTCCAACCTGCCACATAGATTTTACCAAAGTTAGTGCTGTGAACCAAAAACTCATACTTTAAGGACATCAATCAAACACAATTAGCAAATTAAAATGTACCAAACTTGGTAACAACAATACCTTGTTGAACACAACACCAGCGAAATCAAGGGCAGGATCAAAAGTAGTATAGCCTCGGATAATAGCTGCCGCGCTGCGTGCCAATGTCCAGCAGTCAAGTACTAATAACACAGGTGCAGACAGAAGCTTCGCCATCTCGGCAGTGCTACCTACATCAGATCTACCATCCCGACCATCGTACAGGCCCATGACCCCTTCAACGATCGCAACATCTGTGTCGGCAGCTCGTGCCCTGAAACAGGCCAGGTTCACCTCCCTGCAGAGGACCGACCCATCGATATTCTTAGATCCTAATGCCGAGACGAATCGCGCGGTTGTAACCAGAAATGTTAGTTGACTGCACCGTGCATCATAACGATCCAAGCAAAACTTTCAAGCGTCACAAATTCTAGCCCAAAGTAGCAATATATAAATCACACAGTAGAGGGACATCATGTGACACAACCCAACACAGAAAAACAAATTGGAAGGACATGAGACTGCCTACAAAGATACCTGCTCAGCATCCAACTATCCAAGTTGTAGGAATTGCGACCTGTAGCAGCAGTGTGGTGCATTGGATCTAAAAAATCTGTCTTTATCACAACCAAAGTAAGGATTTATCTCATTAATATCCCTCTCAGCATCTGGACCTCGTAATACACATTTTGTGAGAAGCAAACAATGTAATTTCCTGTACGAACGTTGAAAATTGAGATAAACAATAAAATAAAGTATTAAAATAATAAAACAGAGAGCTGTGGCATTTCGCTAAGAGAGCACTGAAGTAGAAACACTGACACACCTGGCCCAATTTTAAAAGGCTGGACCCGCAACCCTCGTCGGGTGTAGGCTGCCATGAGTCCCACAGCAATTGAAGTCTTGCCAACCCCACTGCATGTCCCAGCCACCACAATGGTCTTCATGCTGACTTAACTCGTTATAACTCTAGACGATGCCACCTCTGGCCCCCGAGATACGCTAAACTACTGCCATTCGGATATTCTCAGCGCGATTCAAATCCCAGTTCTTCAAAGAGTAGCCAGTTTAAACATCTTTTGAATTTGAAACAGCAAAATGTGTCGGCACCAATTTGTGTAAACAATGGTGCTCTTTGCCTGAGCGCTGTGCAAGAGTGCTCGTTTGTTGTGCGCCCTAGCCTAATCCTGTACCCAAAGCTTTAGTTCCGGCTTCGGGAAGAGAATCCTTATTAGATTGACTGCACAGTTTTTTTCCCTTTGCACGGTTCATGTCGTTGCCACACGTCACTTATTTCGAACGATCTATGCTGCGAGAATAATGTCGTAAGCAGGAGCCCATAGCCTATTTACAATGCACAGCTCATCATTGTTTGAAAAACTCGACGAGGCAGGCAAGATTTCTTCCTCCTCGGTGTCAACCTCCAAGCCATCAATAGAACATGCCAAGAAGAAGCCCCTGGTTACAATCACCTGCTTCGCCGCTTCGCAAACATACTCTTTCCTGAGACAACGCAACCACAACAGAATTGATTGACGCGTTCAACTGGATAATAAACAAAGATACCTACCCCCACAGAATATTAAACCACAAGCTAGTCTCGGAGAAGGCGGATTTCTATGCGAAGAAAATTGCAAGATTCAACCATAACAGGGTTTGTACTCAACGGCACCTAATTATCCTCCTTTCTCATCATCCACAAAGTGCTCTCCAAAAAAGAACGTCTCACACACTTCTGAAATGCGAAAAAAACCTATGTGCAAAATTCAGAGAATTATCTCTTTGCTTTCCTCACAAGGCTCCTGCGTTCCTCTCATCCTCAAATCCTCTTTCACCACGATGACGCGGTCTTCTGGCATCCAAACCTGGCGTCTCTTCCACACCCTCTCACCGAGTGTCCACCACAAAAAGCAAGGACGCAAAAACGCCGCAAACCCGCCGAGACCCAGAGCCCAAGCCCGTAACTACATTCGAGGACTCCCCAAACGTCCAGCACTCATCCAGTGGAGGAAAGACACAAGAGCCAGAGCAGCCAGACACAGACAACGACTACCTGACGGAGAAACCGAGACCAGCACACATTGCCGACACCTTTCTGTTTCTGGACTCGGGGTCTGTGTGACCCTCTCTCACCTCATCACAGCCAGTACGCCTCCATCACAACCAGCCATACACCATCTCGCCAGCAACAATAACCAACAATCTACGCACCCCCACAGCACGTACTACATTCTAAATGCCGATTTGAATGATGGCTAAATCTTCTGCGCCTGGAAACAGCCAACAACAGAACGCTCTGTACCGAAAAATAAAAGGGAAGGGAAGCAGCAATCCTGACTCCTGTCTCAGCCCTCCCCTACTGCCGTGTGCCTTTCTCTAAAGGCGGAAAGGCGATGTGGGTCATTGCTGCTCACGGCCAGGGAGGGCCTGGCCTGCCCGGGGCCATGGTGAGGCACTAACCAACAGGATTGGGTGACCGCAAAAGAGGCAGATTTTTGGACCAGATCTGCGCCAACCAGACCGCTCCCAGTCCTCTCCGATCCAGTTTTGAAACTTTTGTCTTATAGCCTACTAATGAAGTCCCCCGTACTGGGTGGTGTGAATCCGGTTGCTCCCGGGAAGAATGTTCGGCTGAGCTGTGTGTGGGGATGATGCCGTGGGGAATCCGACGAGTCGTTCAAGTATGAAGCGAGATGGGATGGAATGTACGTAAGGATGCCAGTTATTCCATCATTTGCTCACGAGTGTTGGATATGGTACTTCGATGCCTGGCCCTTCCACACCACGCAGGAAGGACAGGGAACACTCCTCCGTCCGGGGGGTGTGAGTGGCGCTGGGCACGGGTGGCGAGGATTCCACACCCACCCAGATACTTCTGTGGGTGGTGCGCAGCGATTTGCAGTGCACTCTGCCGGGTTCGTGTGGTGGACCAGAGGCTGGAACTCCGACGTGGAGAATTGAACCTTGAAAAAAGAGAGCAGTGTGAGTTGTTTCTGAAGCCCTTTCCCTCTGGCTTAGAGGTACTGCAGCTGGCAGACTATGGCTTCGAAATTTGGTTGTGGGTTGTACTGACATCAAATTTACCTCTACAACCGTTACCAACTACATCTAATGCAAAAGTGTCTTCAAATGAATATATATATATATATATATATATACATACATACATACATACATCATCAAATTCTGTTTATTTCGACGTCACTGTTGATGACAGCAATGTTCTTTCACGAAGTCAATGTGTTCAGATTTTTTTAAAATAAACAAAAACGAAAACAAAGCAAAGGTCACGCCGCTCATTCTTATTTCTAAACCTGTATATACACGTTAATTGAAAATATCGGGATCCAAGTTCGATTTCCCAAGTTAATGCTTGAGATCTCTCTAAAATGGACAAGCGCGCTTAAACACAATGGGCACAATTTGTCGTCCACGTTCAATTAATACCATTCACCCAGTTTCATATTCTTCCAGGTGGGAAAAAGGTGATTCTCGGGTATTGTACGGCTGCTCAGCTTCCGCGATCTGGAATTTATGCGCAAACTTTCTGTTACCGAAGGAAAAAAGAGCTAAACTGTCCGTTTATATACTGTTTTACTGACCTTCCAAGAGTGCTCTAAATGAAGTATCAGATTGTGTACACGATGTTTTGTCATTACACGGCTGACTTACGTAGAGAAAAAAGCAATGTGGAGATTTGATGGACGAGGCAACCGACCACTATATGGTTAGGGAAAGGGTAATCCGGGATGAAAGCAAGTATACTGGCGGGAAATGGTTGGGTGGCATTATTTTCTCACCGGCGTTTACTCAAGAATCCAACTATCGAAGGGTCCAGTGCTGTCGCGGAGTGCTTGCGCAAAAGGGTTGCCTACTTTTCAGGGATTGAACGATCCAGAACGTTTTAGCCAACCGGAATCCCATGGGCAAATTGTTGGTGGCACTTGTTGGGTTTGTGGCTTAGACGGATGGACAAGGATCTGAACCGGGGACAGATGCTTTTGCTGTCTGCATGATTACCGTGCCTTGATTGCACGGGCGTTGTATTATGTAGAAGAACGCGACTACGCACCACTTCCTACAGTGTGTAAATCCATGTGCAGAAAATGCGCAACAGAACGTCCGCCACTGACCAGAAGTATCTAAAAACTGCATTCTCCTGATTTTGCAACTGTAGCGGTTCGATGGACGTGTCGCAATGGAAGCCATTGAGCCACAATTGTGGGCCGTAGGCATGTCAAGACAATTGTAAACAGCGGGGGGAATGTGTGGGTGAGTGGGTCAGCGCTACATGAGTTCGAAGGTTGGTGACAGCAAAATGCATGTATACCTTCCAAAGGTTAAAGTTCATTCGACGTCTGTTTCTGCATAATGTGCATGATATGATTTAGTCAATACGTTTGTAACGTTGAAAAGCCAATTTTCCTCATGTTATCAGAATTTCAATAAGATTATTATTGTTCCAATAATCTCCGTGTTCCTCGTGACTGTTGGTAAGAGATTTAACCTTTTGAATGCTCCAGCCACGCCTTGGCATGCCTTTAAAACAAAGTTTGTGGGTTACTTGAAGCCCAAACCGAGGCATGCCTTCAGAAGACGTCCATCATTTCCAGACAACGAGACCAACCTTAGTGTATCCGAGATGATAGGCGCGAACTACTGATAGACGAAAGAATTCCAAAGTAGAATACGGTACTAACAAGCACCCCTACTCTGCCGAATAGTTTCTTATTCAATGTATTCACACAATCAATTAAATTGTAGCGGATCCAGCGTCTTCCCACATCCAACCTTCCCAACACCTTAAGAAAAACTATTCTTTGTTACGTTCAATGCAAAAAAATCTATGTACACGTGCAATGTAATGCACAGAAACCACATGGTTTTGTCCTATCCTATTTACCCCACCGGGATAGAATGAGGACACCTACAACTGAAAAACAAAGGGAAGCAAATGAGGCTACTACTATCATGAATGCAAATGCCTGATTTGGCAGCTTCAAAGCTGTCTGCGTTTTCTTCAGAAATTTGTCAATTAATGGCGCAAAAGCAGCCGCTCCAGCTACTCGGAAGGGCCTTGTCACATTATTCCCTGTCCACATCAAGACCACTATCTGCAAAGTGGACATGGGACATCACATGAACGCTTTAGGGTAATTGCAAATGAGACGGGAAAAATAAGGCACAATAGGAACAGGAAAGGGAACATGCCTAGAGTAGCCAATATCCTTTTCAGAATGCACTGCAGAATTTAAACGAACAAAGAACATTCAACTTCACACGTAAAGGCCAAAAAGCTGGATCATATGTTATGTTGCTAATAACGACGGTAGTGTCTGAAAAAGGACCAATCGCCACAGTGATAGTCGATAGCGAGCTACTTGCTAACAGACAAGCAATCATTAAATTGTGGTTCTTCAATACCAGGCAGCAGTTGTAATTCTCTGCTTTTAAGATCTTGAACTCGAAGCAGATTGGAAGAACCCAGCTACTGTATGACTTGACAACTAACGCCTTCTAGCAATACAATCTTGTTGACAATTTCGACATGCGAATTCTACCGAAGTGAGGAAGTGATGAATAGTATCATGTTTAGCCACTTGAGTGCATGATCGCTAGTTGTGGATTCCTTTAGACTAAAAGGTATTGTTGTTTCGAAATTTGTTTAGGTTCTCAAGATATGAGCTATATGGCAACAGGCAAAGAGAAGAGGAAAAAAAAAAGGAGCTGCAGTTCAGAAGCACCAGAAACGCAACATGAAGATACGTACAGATAACTCACCCCAAGCAACGCCTTCAAATTGGCTGCAGGGTTTAGCCCGGTGCTTTTCTCGTAGCCTAGAAAGGCCAGAACAAAAAATGAAGTGTAAGTGACTCCATCAAAAATACCATAAGCGAGAACAGCTGCCAACCCCAGTTTTGCAACTTGTGCGCGCATTTCCGAAGCATTGGTCTGAATTCCAGTCAAAGTAACCACTCAGATATCAAGTTTTCAATCTTTCTACATCTCCTTACAGTAGTTGTTAATGAAGTGAACATATAAATGGTAATGCATATGGCAGTAACAATTCTAACTAAGCGAAATGATGTAAGAAAATAAAAGCAATAAAGAAAACATCGCAAAAAGTAAATAAATGAATAAACTAAGAGTACACCATAGAGTTCATCATAAAACAGAAGGCAAAAGCCAAGATAATAAACCTGCCAGTTCTTCCACCAGGATGTCAAGCTCTTCTTCCGTTCCTAGCCAAACCAGGTCAGACATTACCATTTAGAACAGTATCCTTGCGATACAAACAATGTGAATAAGAAAGTGCATAAAAGACATAACCGGTAGTCGCGTTCCAATTCATCTGAAATTGACACATAATATAGAATAGATCGAGTCGAAGATGCCTACAACTATACTTAGAAGTTCCAGAGAAGTATGCTTCTTTGACACGCGCAAAAACAAACGTATGTACAGTGTAATGAGTTAAAAAATCCCAGATCGAAAAGGAAAAACAAAACGAAACAAACAAACAAACAAACAAACAACAACGCTCCTAATTATCAACACTTAGGATAAAAACCACAGCATAACTTAGAATATACGCATTCGCCAATTCAATTCAAGGATTCACGATTTCCGTTTTCCAGGTCAAATGATCCCTAAGATCAAGACTCACTCCATGAAGTCTCAAAGTTTCAAAACGACATTCCGCGTATCTCTAATCAGTCAGGAAGGCAAACCTCTTGTTCCTGCGGAGACGGTGTCTCGGTAGGCGATGGTTCTAACTCATCGGAACCTGCCAAGGGAACGTCGCCAGCTCCACCAGTTGCCGCAGCAGCACAAACACACACAGGGTGCCTCGATTCCCGTCTCACCTGCACCCCACACCAATTGCTCAGTATCGCACCATTCGATCTCCTCACTTGCGGATTCATAAAACCACGAAGCCTGACGCCTGGAACATTATGTTTCCTGGACACACTTGCGGTGTTCAAACAGCGATGCGAGGCAACAAATGGAGACAACAGCCCTAATTGCATCGCCCCGGAAGCCATCGCCACGGCGAGTGAGGCAAATCTTCGTCCCCTTCAGAAAACTCAACTTATTCCACAACTCAGAGCCTCCACTGAATGGATGAAATTTAATTTCCGTTCATCGTTATTCCTTATCCATTGCTGGATGATTCTAGCACGAACACGCCTGTTTCTGATTATACGCGGGCCAGTTCACACCAATAGTCAAGACCAAGCAAATTTGAAGCAATCTACAGTTTTAAATGCAAAAAAAAAAGTTGGACTTAAACAGCGTTGTGAGGGTTAAGAGTTTACTTGATGAGATAGATGACTTACTTTTTTGAATCCCATATCATCAAATAACATATTTTTTTGGTGCCCAATGTATCTGTAAAATGTGCTTTGCAATATCAATACAATGATTTTTTCTTGACATTGTTTATGTGAAAAATACATCCTTGAGTTGAATACTATGCATGCAACAATCAAAGATATTAGTAGCATTATTTACTATAAAAGGGTGGATATTAAATTGACTTGGCTAAATCTTAAATCCATTAGTCAAAAATAGTTGAATATTAAAACATGCAGCACACTTCTTGGGCATTATAAAATTGTGAACTTTTGGTCAAGTTTTAACTTCATATGTTTGGGTGTTGAGTCCACTAGTAGGAAGGCGTTCAAAGTTATTTGCTTGAGTTAATGATCAAAATATCACTTTTGTTAGCAAACTTTTATTCCAAAGGAACTCAGACCAACTAGGAATAGGTATGGAGCAATTTCAAACTAAGAAGTCATAAATTGAGTTGATTAAAGATTTAAGTGGGTCAATTTAGTATTATTCAAAAAATACATTATATTCTTGCATATACACTTACAACATATGTTTTTTGTTTTGTTTTTATTTCAGATTTTATGACACATATATCAAATAAGATATACTAAATATATATATATATATATATATATATATATATAGATGATACATTTTTTTCAAAATATGGCATATTATACTAAAATTTGTTTTTACGAACAACTTCATTCTAATCTATTTACTTGGTTTATGTTATTTTTTGAATTAATTTGAAAATATTATTAAATAAAATTAAATGCAATAAATGCATGATATGCAATACAATGTATGATAAGTAATGAATATATGCAAAAATTAAAAAAATAAAAAAAACTTCAATTACTATTTTAAACATGAAAATGATATATTAATGATATTGATATCAAAAATTTATATAAAAAAATGTAGATTTAATGATAAAGATTATCTTAGTAATATTATTTTTAAAAAATAAATTATTAATTATTAATATATATATATATATATATACATTATCAATATTATTATCATATTGTAATAATATTTTTGTATTGTTATTCTTATACACATTATAATTTATTGGTTATAAGGCACTTTTACATATAGACAACCACTTTATATTAATGGCATACATATTTATTCTAATATTTATCAATATGATTCAATAGAAGTAGGTAAAAATATATTTATTTCATAATATTTTATAGAAAAGCTTTATAAAAGCTTTATAGATAGTGCTTTGACTTTATATGTATTTGTAGTTGATTAATAAGTTAGAAACTTAGTCAATAAGTTAATCACGTGTTAATAGCTTGGAGAACAAGCTAACTATGTGGTACACATATAGAAAACTTGCTTTGCAAGTTAAGATATGTGTCTTGCAAAGTCAACACATTTTGGAGGTCCTATAGGACATTTTCACATAACTCCTAGTTAAAATTACATATGGAGACAAGATTGAATCCTTCTCTACTCTTATCAATACCTTTCAAGTTCTTAATCTTGTTTGAAGACTTTTTAGTCTTTTTGTCTTTGACAATAGCAATACTAATTTAATACTATATCATCTTTAAATAATTTTATAGACTTTTTAAGTGACATAAGAGTATATTGAGGTTTTTTTTTATAAAGATTCATATCCTTGATAATTTGACAAGAGTACTAACTCATTATTCTTATCTTATTTTAGAAATATATGGATTATTCCACTTCTATTATTGTATTTTAAAGCTTACAAATTATCCACCTTTAAAGAAACTGTTTAGTTTTCTAACACTAATATTTTTTTGAAAAGAGAGTAGATTATCCTTCTTTGTAGAAATTTTTATTTGATATTAGAGATTACACATTATCTTCTTCTAATTTGGCTTGAAGATTTATTAAGTTATTTGAAATGGAAGAAAAAATCATGGATGCTATATTTGGCAAAAGTGAAAATAGATTTGTAATTATTGTTAATCTTCACAAACTTATCAACACTTTTAGGGTGAAAATTTCACATATCACAAGCGCCAACTATGGAAACACTAATCTTATGCTTATGGAAGAAATTCAAAGTTTTAATTAGATAACTAAATTTAGAAAGTTTTGCTTTTACAAGTATAATAGGAATAAGGATTAGTATGCCTAAGAAGTTTGATGAAAGAAGATCAAAATTTTGAGGATTTTTGCAATAAGTCAAGCTGTATTTAAAATTCCATCCCTTCTAATATGCTGATGGATTTATTCAAATTAGATTCATAAGAACACTTTTTACAAGAAGTATTTTTTCTTAGTTTGTGCCTTTAATGGAAAAAGATTCATGACTTATTTATAAATTGAATTTATTCTTAGAAGTGTTTACAGCCACATTTGGAGAAAGTGATGAAAAAAGAATAAAAAAAAATCAAGTTCTTATCTTTATGAAAAGGATCATGATCAACTACTATATATGTTATTGAATTTCAAAACTTTACTTGTGACATGGACTGGAATTACAAAGTCTTTACTAATCAACTTCAATATGTATTAAACAATAGTGTCAAAGATTTGTTATTGAAAATACCAAAAGTAGAATCTTTAAAATAATTTATTGCTCTAGCCATTACATGCTACAATTGATTATTAGAAAGACATCAAAAAAAAAAGTCTTGGCTGAAGCGGAACAAGTCAAGTAATGATAGCACCTTCCAAGTTTTTAAAAACTTATTCATTAAGGCAAAAATCAATACAAATTGATATAATATATTTTAAATCCCTTGCAAAACAAAAAAAGATTCAACGTCATCAAGAGGGTTTGTGCTTATATTATGAAGAAGCTAAATATACTTCTCAACATTATCCAAAAAAATAATGCAATTACAAAATAAGGAGCATACTTACCACAAAAGACAATGTGTCAAAAAATAAGTTTTTTCAACTACAATATGAATCATGTAATTAAAATCTTGCATAATTCTTAGCGAATGTCTTATTTTCTTTTCAAATCTCTCGCCTTATTTTACAATAGAAGTTTATTTAGGACCAAAAAAATACAAAATCTTAGTCTTGTTAGATTCAAGAGTCTCAACCTGTTTTATAGATTAAGACTATGTTAAAAAATAAGAAATATTTTTAATCAAGAAAATTAAATGTATACATGTAGAAGTCATAGGTGGTCATTTGTTATCTTCTAGAGATATTACCTATGAGATTGTTTCTCTAGATGTAATAATTAAAGATCATAATAACATAGTAATTTTTAATGTAATAAGATCTCCATCCAATTTGGTTATTTTAGAATTATCTTAATTAGAAAAGTATAATCATCAAATAGATTAGATTTCTTGTAAGCTTTACTTTCTTTATAGTTTGATTCAATTTTTTTTTTGTCAAGTAGAAATACATAAGCCTAATACATCCAAATCCTTATTGGTAGGTGTGAAAGCTTTCATTACTATGGCAAAAGAAGGATCATCTTTTGCTTTATATGCCATGTCCATTTGTGATGGTAAAAAGACATCAAGCGGTATTCCTAGCTAGTATTAAGATTTTCAAGATGTTATTGAAAAAAAATACAAATACTCTTTCAAAGCATCAATTCTATGATTATTCAATTGATTTCTAACAAAGAACTCAATTACCAATCAGACCAATCTATAACTTATTACAAAATGAATTGGTTGCATAAAAGTAGTATATTGAAAAAAAAATTAGCTAAGAACTTCATATGCTATTTGAAATCTCTAACAAGAATTCTTATCTTATTTGTAAAAAGAAAAAATGTATATCTATGGTTGTGCATAGATTATTGGAGACTTAATAAGATTAATATTAAAAATAGGTATTTTCTACCTCTAATTTTAAGACTTCTTGACCAACTCAATAAAGCAAAGATCTATACAAAAATAGATCTACAAAGAGCATGCAACCTAATCCATATCAAAGAAAGAGATAATTAAAAGATTTTTTTTGAATTAGGTATGGATATTTCAAATATATTCTCATGCCTTTTGAATTCACAAATACACCAATTACATTTCAACATCTTATAAATGACTTTTTTTGTAAATTTCTTAATGATTTTGTTGTCTATTACTTAGACAACATTCTAATCTACTCTAAGAATGAAAAAAATATGAACTTCATGTTTTTTATGTGTTACAAAAATTTATAGATGTAAGATTGTATGTCAAGATAGAAAAGTATATATTCTATACTACTGAAGTTGACTTTTTAAGATACATCATTTCCAACAAAGGACTTATGATGGATCCAAAGAAACTCCAAACTATCATAGATTGGAAGATTCTAAAAATAATCAAATATGTGTAATATTTTTTAAAATTTGCCAATTATTATAGGATCTTCTCTAAGAACTTTTTTAAGTTGCTACTTGTTTTATATACCTAACATGTAGAGATAGATTTAAGTGGGATAAAAAATTTGAAGTATCTTTTGAAGCCTTAAAGATATGATATATTTTTATACTAATTTTGTACTGTGTCGATTTTTTAAGGCATACTTAATGGAAAAAAATACATCAAACTTTGTTATAAGTATTATTTTGTTATAAATAGAAGAAAATGACAAGCTCTGTCTAATAGCTTTTCATTCCAAAAAACTTTTAGTAGCCTAGATTAACTACAAGATCTATAACAAAGAACTTTTTTTAATTGTGGATTCATTTCAAGAATGACATCGTTATTTAGAAGGAAATTTTAGTCTAATGACTATATATATGGATTATAAAAACCTTAAGTATTTTATGTTGATACATGTTTTG